TACAGTATGTCCCGTACAGCACAATTCATGGGCCGTGTTTATATGGGATTGAGCCAATCTAGGAAGCTACAATTATGGCAAAAATTCTGTGCACACTTGGATGTAAACTAAATTATTACTGGTCAAATACACGTGCTGACGTCTTTGTCTTGCCCGCCATACCCCCTACAATGTTGGTTTTGACAAGTATTTCACAAAGCTTTATCCTATTAACCAATTGAGAAGCTTTCAACATTAAGCCGGGAAGCATCGCATGCTGGGCAAGTGAGGCAATAGCCTCATTCCAAGACCGGTAGCCGTACCAAGGCAAGCACTGGGGAGGATCCAACAAAAGCAACTGCACATAAGGCTGAGGGGGCCAGTGTTCCCCAATCTGCCCTGAGTCTGGGACTTAGCTAGAATGTGGATATGGGGGTAGAATGAGGATATGGGGGTAAAATGCGGATATAGGGATAAACATGGATTTGTGTCCGTTCTGCTTCATATCCGCATTGTCCCTTTATCCTGACCATCTGAAATCTGTCAGCACACGTGTTTAATACGGTTACAGGATACCCTTAATTAAACTTTAATTTTAAACTTTCGAAAATTTCAAAAAATTGTTTCACATATTCTTGTAGCTTGGAAATAGATCTGTCATCAGCAAATGTTTCAAATTAAAAAATTTCAATTTTTTTAAATTTTTTTTATTTAAAGATATTTTTATTTGGAAAATTGAGTTTGCCCCAAGAGCGTACACACTCATAAACAAGTTATCAAATTAAACGTTTTCCGAACTCTATATACTGTACTTAGCCTGCGTAGCAGGCGGTATTCGCGGGCACGAGAGAATGGTAAGCTTGAAATACCGCCTGCCCAAAAACTACACATTCTGAGTTCTCCCCGGCAGCTGGGTGCCGGAACAATCTGATTGGTCAGAATGTTGATTTTCAATTTTTGATTGACAGGAGTAAAGAATTAGAGTAATTAGTGCTAATTTTAGAAGTTACTGTTGCCGTATTTGTAATATAAACTATTGTTATTTTCGTAATTGATACCAATATATCGAGTGATGGCATACTTAACCAAAAAATAACTAATGTTTTAATTGAGAATTAAGCGTTGAATTCTTTAATCTTTATCTGGAATCGGAAATCGCTTCGTCTTGAAGAATGAACAACGAATATCAATCCAACATTTGTTGCTTGATAGATGTGATACCGTGATAAAAGTGCAGATTTGAAGATGCAGGCTCGTAAATGACACTCTAAGTAGTGTTTTTGATAGCGATTGGAACAAGACTATTACAAAGTTACGTCCGAAGGGGCCGAAGTTATGTTCGGCGAAAGGTATGGCTAGTCTATATTTTTGTTCAGACAATTGCGTAATTTGATAATACACGAACTCGCTTGACTTTCAAAGCTCATAAATCGCTATAATGTTGACATCGACTAAAACTATCGCTATGAATGAGGACATATTGTTACACTGAATCGAAAGTGGTATTTTTGTCTTCATAGCATTGAATGAACCGAAGATATGAAACGTCAAAGCCGTATATTTGCACTGGTGCAAATATCTGAGTTTGACAAATAATTAAAATAAATACATTAAGATGGGCGGGACCATGCGGTGGGCGGAACTCAGAATGTGTAGTTTTTGGGCAGGCGGTATTTCTAGCTTCTACCGCCTTCTACACAGGCTATACTGTACTTGGCCAGCCTCGTACCCAGGCTCTTTAGTAATTAATAGCGTTCAGAGCTCTGGGTGAGCTAGGCGCGCGGGGATTCTTGCCGCAACCTCCCCAAGAATTCCCGCGTGCCTAGCTCACCCAGAGCTCTGAACGCTATTAATTACTAAAGAGCCTGGATACGAGGCTGGTACTTGGCGGGAAAACTAATTGGATTAAAGTCAATTCGGCAGACACATTAGTTTTTGAGTTGTATAGTTACACGCACTAAAAATGCGACGTTAATCGTGCATTTTAACGGATTGTTCTTAAATTTACACACCTTCTACTGTACGTGTACTGCAGTGAATAGTACACTAGTATGTCTTGACTACGAAAGGCTGTTTACAGACCTTTATTGCAAAGTTACAACCAAGCCATTTTGTTGTGCATTAGTTGCAATATAACACAAGTCGGGAAAGAATGCAGTATGCCAAGCTAAGTTAAACCCCTAAAGCAGCAATAAAATGGGAACACACTTTTTTAGAACAATCTTTCAGTTTGAGAAGGGTAAAACTAAAAATGACAGTTTGATAAATGTTTAGTGAAACGAGCGTTCAAGACAAATCGCAGAGCGAATGTACCATAAACTTTAGGTAGCAATATTCGGGAACTTTTTTCTGGTATATTTTATAACACATGCTGTTCTTCAGCTATCTGGTACATTCGGCGAAAGTTTAATTGAAATTGGATAAAATTCGCCAAGTACTGTAATGGTAGATCTCCTGAAACACGTGCCTATGGTTATCCTTGCTGTAACCTTAATATGAATCGCTCAACAAAACATTCCACCTGTTCATTTCATGAAAAAAAGTGATTTACTTACAATATTCTTCAGGAATTTGCAATCCAAATAAGCCAAGTTCTTTAAGTCCATCCAGAACATCCTTTGGAATTGTCGCTTCTCTATCAATTTGGGCTGAATCCACTGAAATGACATACAGTATTAACACAGAGTCTCGATCATTTAAATAATGGGTCTAAATTTATAAAACATTTTTAATCGCCCACTATAACTGGGAAACTAGCTGTGGCCAATTCCCTGGCACTTATACAGCAATATTAGCCAAGCTTATAATTATATTAGCCCAAGTTTATTATTTACTCTGTCTAATGCACTAGTCAATCGAAGTCCCGGCCTCCCACCCCCGGGGATATACCGGGTTTTAACGGGATTTTGCGGGGGAAATACAGGCTTTTAACAAACGTCGCTTGTTTGCTACCCAGGGTTTCAACACTGACTTAAATAGCCGGGGATTTAACACCATTTTTAACGCAATTGAAAAGCGCTCGGGAAAGCTAGTGATCGTGTGCACAGTCTTAAGATTTGTTTGTACTTTGTATATATTTATTTGGGAAATTATTATATTAAGATATTAAGCGCTACTCTTGTTGTTTTCATGATTTGAGTGATGTATTACCTGGTTTATACCGTGAATTTATATTTTACCCTAGTATTAACATACCGGTATATATGACCTGGCTTACGTGTACTTTATTAATAATTAAAAACGGTATTATTTTACAAAGGAGCAAAGCATCTGACAACCATTGGCTTCATTTGAACCATTCACCTGTATTAATTTTATAATATGCATACGAAATTTTTAAAGAACGAACCAGGTAAAGTATTTTATTATATAAACATAAGTGTTGTATACAGTTTTTGGCCACTGAGAAAAATCGTATTTAAACACACGTAAAAATACGATATTTTTACGTGTGAAAATATCATTTGTTGTAAAACGCATTGCCACGGACGTTTTATTGTTTTTCACTGAATTTTGTTTATATAATAAACAGAAGAATACATGGGTGCTTGGAAATACCAGATTTATTTGTCGTGTTGAACATGATATCTCACTCGTTCGCTGCCCTCACTCATGAGATATCATGTTCAACACTCGAAATAAATCTGGTATTTCCGTGCACCCATGTATTATTCTCTATAACTTTGGCGGAGTTTTAATGGAAATATTAATGTTAGGTTTTTTATCAAACTGCGGAAATTTGAAAAAAAAACACCCAAATGTTTAGGCCCAGTAACCCGGGGATTCTAACAATTGAACAAGATTTTTTAGCCGGGATTTTAACAACCGTGAAATGTTAAAATCCCCGCTTAGTCCCGGGGGTCAGGGGGCCGGGATTTCGATTGACTAGTGCATAATGCCAGATGATTTCACTTGTCAGGGGGAAAGTGCTGCCAATTATTGGATAAATTTCTTTCTTAAAATCAGTGAACTCAAGTACGGTATCAAGAAACATAATGTATGACTTGTTAACCTAAGAATTATATTTGCCAAGATAGACCACAATGTAATCTGTCATCACTTGAATTTGATAGTTATTGTGCATAAATAACATGAACACAGCTGCTACTGTAGATGATCCATAAATTGGAAATGTTCGGAAATGTTCGTAAAAAGTTCAGGCTACAGATGTTAGTATATAATTTTTATGGCCTTCATTTTTCTACCTTTCTCTGTAAAAAATCTCTCCACTGGATCAATCATCATTTGTAATGTTTCTTGTTGGTCATCGGTAGGTTCTGGATATGGAAAAACTTTATCCTGGAAATAAAGATGATGTAATAACTTATACTTTCACATTGGTGAGATTAATAACTCACCAGGTCTTAAAATATCTTTTACAAGCCTGTCTGACATAATGTTGATGTCCGATGACATTCAGTTTGCTCGGAAGTAAGTCTGAATGACACAAATTAATATCAGCAAAATTAATATTAATTCTGAATGGTAAATGTCTGCACTTGATTACATTAAAACAATATTTCTTGTTCACTTTTTATACACCACATACCGTAGCTGTGCTTTAAATTGGTCGGACACCAATACACTCAGGTCAGACAAACAATACATCTCAGTTTTGTCTCTACATCAGACACTTTCACAAATGGTTTGGACAATGTCCGTGACCATTCAATATTTTAAGTACTGTTTAATAAACGAGCAGGAGTGTTTTATTAGGTTTAAAGCCACGAGCGCGCAGCGCGAATGGCTTTAGACCTAATAGAACACGACCTGCGAGTTTATTAAACGGCTTCAAACACGACTACAAATTCAATAGATATACTGCCTTATTAGTATTCTTTATATAAATAATACTAATGAGGGCACAACTACAATAGATACTGCCTTATTAGAATTCTTTATATAAAGAATACTAATTAGGAGTGTTTTATCAGGTTTAAAGCCACTGCACGTGACATATTATGGTTGACATGATTTGCCAATAAGCTTAAGAATTATTAATGAGTGTTTGAACTACTGTGTTAAATTGTCCTCATTTTATAATCAACTGATTACGATCATGTTAATAGAGGTACTGCATATACATGCATTTATTTTATATATAATTAACACACCATGCGCCTTGATGTACCCTATTTTACTCTGTCTACTGCCAGACGATTTTCTTCATCAAAGAGCTATTATAAATAGGTCTATAATGCGACAGCACTTTGCATATATGAGTAATATGACTATATAAAATGTTCCGTAATTAGTCGCATGTTTGGGAATTAAACAGCAATAATAAAACACAATGTTAAATAATTCACCTTTACAAAATTACCCACAAAAAGTTCCTTCGCAAATACAGCAGACAAGTGGCTAGCATGAAATTCTTGCCTGGCTTGCACTCCTTGGCCATTTTGTCCATTTAAAAATTTGCCAAAAGAACAATTTTTAAACCGGTAAAACCGCGCAAAAACGCGAGGAAATTTTGTATACACACTCATATTACTGTGTACACGATTATTTGTCTTCCTAGGTTCTTTTAGTGCTTAAAACAACCTTTGAACTCGGTTAAAATACAACCAGAAACGGGCAAGAAAGTCAGCCATGTTTTGAAATATTCGTGGCCAAAAATACCATCAGTCAGAAATACACGGACTTTGACCCCAACTTCGTGAACTGTTCGGTTCACGCTCGCAGATCGTCGTGACACGGACGAAATTTTGGAAAAAATTATTTTAAAATTGATACATATTTTACATCTTTTGTGTGACATTGTTTACTGTCGTCAGACAGCAGATTGACAAGCAGTGCCAAGGACTCTGCCAAGAACCTGCAAATCTGTATAATTTTCCTATATTTTGGACCAGTAAGCCACTGTATTTAAACTCATTTAAATATTGTTCAAGAAATCATAAAAATCACTGTTATTCCGTCTGCGAGTTCGGGTTTAGCCTGCGTGGCAGGCTCTCTGGGTTTGGGGGAGAAAAATTTTTTTTTGGGGGGGGGGCGCAATAGTTTGGGTTATGAAATGTGCCAATTATCAGGGCCCGCGGAGCGTATTAGAGAGTGGGGGGGCTAAAGGGTGAGGTTTAATTAATTTAGAAAGTTTCATTTAGATTTCTATTTTAATAATTTTGGCTGTCAAAAAAAGTGGGGGGGCTAAAGCCCCCCCAGCCCCCCCGTCTCCGCGGTCCCTGATTATGAATATGTACCAATGCAATTTTAGCTCCTAGACTTAAGACTTTCAGCGTTTGTTTATGTTTATAGGATAACACAAGAATATATATTTGTATAGTGGTATATTAAGGTGGAAATCTGCAGTATCTTTACTTTACAAGCTCAGATTTTACAAATTGACTCGTGAATCAGCATTTTTAGTGTGAAGTTTCTTCGAATGTGATGTTCGTAGTGATTTATTGTACTTACTACTTAGTCAGTGTTTTGAAGGTTATTTAGGCAATTTCAGTTGTCTTCTTTAAATATCCTTTTGGACTTTTGCCAAGTTCACAAAAATTTCGAGGAATCGTTGTCGTTAACATGCAAATTTTGCAACATTCACTTCAACCTGCTTCACAGGTCTCACCTCCGCCACGCCCCCCAAACACCGGGGCATGGGGTGAGCGGAGGTGAGACACTGGGAACGAGGTTAACGATAACGATAACGATAAAAACTATCGAGTAAATACAAAACCAAAGCATATTCCTGTTATATCCACCACCTCTGTTGACACTAAGATAACTCAAAAACATAGATCGAGAAACCTGAATAATCTTATTGAAATCCCCTTAGAAACCCCAGCCAGAAACGCAAATATTAGGTCAAAATTTGCATATCTTTTTACTTTCAAATGTGAAGTCGCTGGCCCCGAAAATTGACGAAGTGCGTGACGTCATATACCGAGGAAATTACGACTTTGTTAGTTTAGTCGAGACTTGGCTGCAGGGCCACATTCACGACAACATTGTCGACATACAGGGATTTAACCTTATTCGCAGAGACAGGTGCGAACGTCAACATGGCGGGGTCTGTATATATATTAAAGATACCATAGAATTTTCAGTGTTGGATGAATTATTTGACAGCTTATTCGAAGTATTATGGATTAACATGCGTCCAACCCGACTGCCGAGGGGATTTACTAATTTGATTGTTGGAACAGTGTATCACCCACCAAGTGCGGAAAATGCAGCTATGCTGAATTATCTATCAAACTGCTTATCAGTAATGGAATGGCGTTTCCCTAATTGTGGCTTTATTATCCTTGGTGATTTTAATAAACTTAATACCTCACGTCTAAGAACTGGCTATGATTTAAAACAGCTTGTCAATTTTCCAACCCGCGGAAACAATACCCTTGACATTGTTTTAACAAATCTTAACGCATTCTTTGGTCAACCTACTAAGTGTGCCCCCTTTGGGTTATCAGACCATATGTCTATTGAGGTGAGACCAGTCGAGCGTCGTAATATCCAAGAAAAGTCACAACGTACGGTAAAAACGAGGGACTTGCGGCCTAGTTCCCGTCTTGCAATGCGTAAATATCTTGAGCTTGTAGATATCCCAGAAATGCTTAGCAGAGTTGATTCTTGTTATGAAAAAGCCTCGCTTCTGGAAACTATTGTTAAAACTGGCTTAGATTATGTCCTCCCATTACGAAGGAAAAAGATTAAATCTAACGATCCCCCCTGGATGAACTCGACACTAAAGAGCCTTATTATAAATCGTCAAAAAGCTCTCAATCAGGGAAATATCGAGGAGTTCAAACGTTTGAGGAACCAAGTCAATCGCCAGAGGAAAATCTGCCGAGCAAAATATTACAAAGCCACTGTTCAACATTTGAAACAATGTAGATAGATAGATAGATAGTGTATTTAAAATTCACCTTGCAGCTGAACGGCTGAATTGCGTGATTTACAAGAGTATATAAAACATTATTTAAAAGATAGAATATGGGTTAATTAGGCATATTTACAAATGGTCATTAAAACGCTTAGTACTAAAAATTACATTAACTTAAGTTACTAGACATAGGAATAAAAGTTTTTTTAAATCTTTCTGTATTAGTTTCGAATCGTTCAAAGAGTCTATTGTTCCTAAGTTGGTAAACCGACTCATGTTTTGGAGGCAGTAAATTATGCAGTTTGTGTGTCGGATTGTTAGTAATATTTGTGAAAAGTTTGTTACACATTTCTTCGCGTCTTTGGAACAAAGTTTGAAGATTAAAATATTCTAAAGTTTCGCTATATGAGTTCGCGGGTAAAATGATCTTCAGTGCTCGCTTTTGTACCGTCTCAAGATCTTCTGACAGGAAGGATGGGATTGAGTAATGGAAAACCGGGGCACAATATTCCAAAATGGGCCTGATAACTGTACAGTAGAAGTTTACAATGTCTTTCGGACTGACTTTTGCGCGCTTAAGTAAGATAATGAAGTAAAGACGTTTGTTAGCTTTTTTAATGACTTCGTTAATGTTGTTAGTCCATTTAAGGTTACTAGAGATGGTGAGGCCTAGAATTTTAGCGTTTTGGACAACCGGCAATTTCTTCCCGTAGACTGTAAGAGGGTCGAAGTTCTGTTTCGTGGATTTAAAGTCCATTTGGAGTTCTTTACATTTATCTGCATTAAGAAGTAATCTGTTGGAATTCGACCAGTTTTCTACTGTGGTAACTGCGTCTTGGGCTTTGCTGGTATCGCCTTTTTTAACAACCTCAGAAACGGTTGTATCATCGACATACTTCCAAGTAGATACTTCAGTGATTTTAAGATCATTGATCATCCATAGAAAAAGCCATGGCCCAAGTTTCGTACCTTGAGGGACACCAGCCGGGACAGCACCCCACTCTGAAACGCAGTCGGTTGCGAGTTTAACTCTTTGTTTTCTGTCCAATAGAAAATCAATAGTCCAGCGTACGACTGCCTTCGGAATTGGTAATCTGGAGATCTTATCAGCGAGTATACAATGGTCAATAAGGTCAAACGCTTTTTTATAGTCGAACAGGGCTACTCTGACTGCTGCGCCAGTGCCATCAGTTGATTGGGACCAATTGTGGATCATTGATATCGCTGCCATAGATGTAAAGGATTTTGGTATCACTCCAAATTGGTTGGGGTCGATTTGACACAGAATAGCTGGCCCAATGTATTTAGAAACAACGAATTCTTCTGCTACTTTAGAAAGGGCTGGGGTGAGGGATATTGGTCTTAAATGTTTACAAATTTCGGTTACCGGTTTCGTTTTTATGATTGGAACAACATCAGCTGCTTTCCACGAGGCAGGAAGTCGTTGTTCATTAAAACTGCTATTGAGAATCGAACTGACAAGCTGGGCGAGGACTTCTGCATATTCGTTTAACACCCAATTCGGAACACCGTCTGGGCCTGAGGCTTTTCTGGGGTTAAGGGACGCAAGGCCCTTATACACATCAAATTCGTCGAGATGGAGGACAGAGTCATTTGGATCGTAGGAGGGAAGAGAAGTAAGAGGTTTGTAAGTTTTCATGGGGTCTAGGAAGGCTGTGTTTATGAGATTTGCAATCTCATTTGGAGACTTCCGGTCAAAATCGTCAATGTGAATTTGGTTATATAGATCTTCCGCTCCCGTTGAGGGGGTCATACCAGCAATCTGTTTTACTTCTTTCCACCAACGACTTGGTTTTGACTTTTTTAGATGTTCAACCTTCAACGAATAAAACTTTTCACGGCATTTTTTTCTTTCGCGATTAACTCGGTTGCGGTAATACCTAAACAGTTCGTTATTGCCGTTAGAAAATGCTGCTTGGCGTTTTTTTATAAGAATCTTAAAAGAAACGTATAACTGACTTGGTTTATCAATTAGGAATTTGCCTTACTTTCCCCGTGCAGCCATAAAGGGATTTGAGCCAGGCCCTATTTTCCTTCCATCCACACGCATTTAATTAAAGAAGAGGAAACAAGAACCTGATACCCATGCTGAGTCAAGCATGAGTCTGGTTTGAAAATCACGTAGGCACGCTCAACACTGCGAATATATGTCTCACTTTTAAAACTAAAATTTGCATGGCTAAGCCAAAGGCGTTGTTATGTAAAAAAGAGAAATATTGATAAATCTTTGCATGCAATGATAGTAGTATAGCCAGCTGAGCGTATAACTATTAGTATTGTATAAATTTTGTATACCGAATGAGCTTTCACTGTTGAAGCCTTCACCTATAGCTACTTATTTCTGTTCATATATAATTATTTATTTCTGCATAATATGCTTATTTATATTTTTGTCTATTTGTATTTAAATTTGTCTATATAACTATTTTTTAGTTCTGTACATTTATTTCTGTCTATTCGTGACTTTATTGTTTGCTTTTGTACATGCACGGGAAAACGATATATATTTCAATCTTTCGATGGCATTACCTTGCGTGTCCATGCAATAACCTGCATCATTGCACGGAAAGCACGCGGTATGCCGTCCAACAAGCAATTGGAAATAAATATTTTATAATCAACGGCTTTTACCCTTTTAATTATTATTTTAATTATTTTTTTTTACAAGTTAAAAATGTAGCAATGACAAAGTAAAAAATATACGACGAATTCATGACTATTTCTTATTCATATTTTTAATATTGGCATAGTCAATACTGT